TGCCCGGCGGCTGCTGCGTGTGCACCGCGTGGCCCCGGCACGACCTGGCGGACGGCTACGTGCAGGTGGATCTCATGTGCAGGACAGCAGGGTTAACCGCGGCGGGGCTGAAGAACCTCACGGTGGACGTGGGCCAGCTGAAGCTTTTGGCCTATCACCGCTTAAAAAAAGCAGCTGTGAGAGTAGTGCTGAAAAGTGCCGCACTGAAAAAGTCAACCCCCCGGGGCTTGCTGCAGGAGATAATAAAAGAGCTGCTAAGAAACGTCTATGTTTCTGTTAATTACACTGTTACAGTTGCACCAACTCTGGAAAATCCAGTAGTTTATATTGAAATACTCTCTACAGACCCTTTGACAGATGAAGCTGGACTAGTAACTCCCCAAACAAGTGTAAAAATTAAAGAGGTCATCACTTTAGAGTGGTACAGGCACTTAACTGAGGACACAGCGAAAGTCTCGGTTGCGGGACTAGATGGTGTGGGAATGTCTCTGAAGGAAATGGTTGATTTGCCCTTCCGCTTCCCAAAAACTTTCAGGAAGCTGGGACTTTCTGTCCCTAACGGAGTGCTGTTAGTAGGTCCTCCAGGTGTAGGGAAAACCCTTCTGGTAAAGGCAGTAGCTAAGGAAGTGGGTGCTTATCTGCTCTGCATCAGTGGTCCAGCCCTGTATGGCTCAAGACCAGGAGAAAGCGAGGAGAATTTGCGAAGAGTTTTTGAGAAGGGCAGAGAAATGTCCCGTGAAGGACCAACCATTGTCTTCATTGATGAAATCGACTCTTTGTGCCCAAAGAGAGGGAGATCAAACAGTGCTCCTGAGGATCGTCTTGTTGCTCAGTTGCTAACACTGCTGGATGGCGTAGGCCACAAAGATAGGATGGTCATTATGGCAGCAACAAACAGGCCTGATGCCTTAGATCCTGCACTGAGAAGACCTGGCAGGTTTGACAGAGAGGTGAGCTGACCTTTTTTTTCCATACCCTCCTTTGCGGGGTGGGTATAGACAAAATAATTACATTTTTTGGAGGTGGGGAGAAGGCTACTTAAAAGTACTGTAATGCATTCACAATTAGAACTTGCATTATTTTTCAGGGTTTATTAGCTGTTGAAATGTATTTTATGGTAGTGTTTTTCCAGGTTTTTACTAATGTATGAGCACTTATCTAATTGATTTTGTTCTGGATTCAAAGATCTACTTCTGTGTTCTAGTGTTAGTGAAGTACTTTATGCATTCATATCTGAGCTTATTTGACTAAGAATTATAGCAAGACAAGCACAGATTCACAGGATCATGCTTCAAGGTGCTATTCCTTCAGATGGTTATTTTATTTATTAAATGCACATAATCCTCTAATTCAGCCGTTAGAATGAAAGTATTATTTTATTTCTAAGTCTTATTTTTCAATTACCATAAAACACGAGTTTATAGACCGATGGTTGATGGTGTTTTACAAACAACTATTTACACAAACACTGTTTATTTGGAAAATATGTGTAAATGAAAGGGGCTTTAAATACTTGTCATTTGTGTAGTGTTTTTCTATTGTGAGAGAGTGAAGAACTGCTAACTAGCTTCTTGTAAAATTACTCAGTGGCATGTAGGAAAGTATAAATCTTCAGTAAGCAATACGGAGAAAATGTTGCTTGTTTTAAAAAATGAGAAGAGAATAGCAAAATGCCTAATTAATTTATTTTTGTTCTGTTTGATTTAGGTTATTATTGGGACACCAACCTTTTTACAGAGAAGATCCATCCTGCAGTTGCTCACAACTAGTATGCCAATTTCTGCAGATGTTGATCTGGTTAAACTGGCAGAAATGACAACTGGGTATGTTGGAGCTGACCTTACGGCACTCTGCAGGGAAGCTGCTATGCAGGCTGTGTTCCAAAGCTCTCTGGTATGGCTGCCAATTAATCAAGGAGGTTGTTATTAATATGAACCACCTTTTCCTCATTCATACTCTGCTTTACTTGAAATGCTCGGCAACTTGAATCAGAAATTAAAATACTGAAAATAAGTTTATAAATATACAGATGGCCTGTTTGTCTTGTAAACAGTAAAATCCTTTGTAAAATATAACAATTTTGTCATAAATCTTTAGCTTTTAACAACTACATTTTCATGCCACTTGAAATGAGGTGCCTTACATTGCACATTACACTATCAAAATGAATGTTAGTCAGTGAAAACATTTGTAATCAAGAGAATTCAGAAATCAGTTGCTGGTTTCAGAGTTTAATTAGATACTTTTTGATTTGCTCGATCACTGCATAATCATAACTTAGAGGAAGCTGTATTGCTTTTCCCTAAACCACTAAATTCAGGGTTTTTTTCTGTATATATATAAAAAACAATTTTAGAACATATTCTAATTTGTATTTAATATATAAACTTACTAGGGCAGAAAATTGATTATTATTTTCATTTGGTCTTTGTGGAGTATTTTGCATATTAATGGAGCATGATAATGAAGCATATAATCATTGATTATATAAAATATTACTTATTTGTTGTATGTGGGTTTCTTCAGGATTCAGCTGAAATTAGCATGGCAGATTTCCAAGAAGCTTTTAAAAAGATTCAACCATCCTGCTTTCGAGGTGCTGTTGGACTAACAGAGTGTAAACCTGTTACCTGGGAGCAAATTGGTGGTCTTGAAGAAGTGAAACTAAAGTTAAAACAGGTAATGTATAAAATGCATGTAAATAAACTAATTTCTAATAATTAATTCCAGAGTATTCTGTATGTTCTATGAGGTGCATGCATTCTCTCGCAAATAGTATGTTTACAATCATATTAATTATTCTGTAATACATGAAATAAATGACAAGCACTGTAATAAGTCTCTTGCCTCGTGTTCTGTTTCACAGTGAGAGGAAATGAGAGGTAACTCTGACAATACTGTCTGATATTACTTCTGTGTGTATGTATGTGTGTGTGTATACATGCACACATATATACATTATATATATATATATATATAAAACACCCACACACCCCCAAAGAGACCTAAAAGAGTATCTTTGTGTTACTTTCCAATTAATGTTTGTATCAAGGAGAGAAAATATTGTGCTTAACCATATCATTGATAGCATCCATTACTGAGAATGTTTCATACTTTTTTATGTATTGACAGAGTATTGAGTGGCCTATGAAGTTTCCTCAGGCTTTTGCTAGGATGGGCCTGGCACATCCAAAGGGTATTCTTCTCTATGGGCCATCAGGGTGTGCCAAAACCACACTAGTAAAGGCTGTGGCCACCAGCTGTCACTGTTCCTTTCTCTCTGTAAGTGGTGCTGACCTCTTCTCGCCTTACGTTGGGGATTCAGAGAAGATTTTGTCTCAGGTACAGTTTTTAAGTTGTATGAAAACTATAGTTTGTTTCTGAAACTAGGAGTCAGGTCTGCAGTTCATGATCCAAATTTGTAGGTAAAACTTAATTGATTATTAAACTGAGATAAGCTATGGATTCACATTTATATAAAATAATCAATCTGCAGTGATATCAGTTTTAAACTTGAATTCCTCTTACCCTTAAATTTTCAGTTGACAACTTAGTTAAGCACTGTTTGCCTGTATTAGATGTTAAGTCTCATTGGCTCTCAAGTTTATAACTTCAGTTTATACGAATGCATCTTTAAAGTTAAGTAAGTTAAAATACAGTATATAAGCGACTTTCACATTATGGAATAGAATATACATTAACGTTTTACTTTATGAATCCAAAAAAGGTTTTTCGCCAAGCAAGAGCAAATACTCCAGCAATAATATTCCTAGATGAGATTGATTCTATCTTGGGATCTCGGTCACACTGTAAAAGTGGCCATGGTGTCTCAGAGAGAGTTCTTTCTGTTCTTCTCAACGAGTTGGATGGAATTGGACTGAAAGTCACAGAAAGAAGAGGAAAAAAACTACAGCTTGAGGGTGAATGTCAGGAACAAAGTGATGAGGAGAGAAAGGTATTTATGTTCCCTCATATATATAAAGAACAGAACTGCTGGGGTGTTGCAAAAATATTAGTTGTTAGCATTCACACTTCTTAAAATCATCAAGCTTGACATATTAGAACAGCATCTTAAGTCTTTTTATTTCTAGCTTTTATAACATGCAGTATCTATGCTGTTAACCATTTTTATGTATAGAGTTCCTCAATGACACTTTTCTGAGGGGGGCAAAGGAGTGGAGATGTTTGAACAAAATGCACTAGATGGCACTGCTAATAGTTGCTCATCTGTCACAAAAATCCTCTTAATAGTGTGTATTTATTATTATTACCAAGATGGATATTAACTATATTTATTTTTTGCCTGCCTGAATCAAGGACTTTTATTTCCCAAACCAAAGTAAAATGTTAATAATGAAAGTGACTACATATTTAGATGCATTTTTTTTCCTTTCTTCCCATGGTTAAATAATGTCTTGGGATAAATATTTGTTCTAGATGTATTTCACTAATTTGTATAAAAATTGCTTTACTCAGCTAGAGTTTCAAGAAACTTTGAACAAGGATTTCATGGTAGTTGCTGCAACAAATAGACCGGATATGTTGGATGATGCCTTGTTGCGTCCTGGAAGGCTAGACAGGATGATCTATATTCCGCCTCCAGACCTGAAGGTGAGGTATTATAATTCCACATGTATCTTCAAATTGAGAGACACAAATTGCTGGCATACTTAAAGTGCAAAGGGGGCGTAATCCTATGTTGAACAACTAATGGAAGATCACTAAAAGATTAGTCACCAAACTGAAAGTATGTAAAGACTTTTAAGAAAAATAATTTAAATATCTATAACACTTTACCAGATATATTTAGTTGTACTATTACATTTAAAAATAGTTAAAATCTGTTTAAATAACTGTTCTTGCAAAGTCGAGCTACAATTTAGGAAGAAACAGAGCAAGTTGGCTGTCCTTATTTCAGATTTTTCACAAGCCATATTCCCAGCAGTGGTGTGCTTGTACAGAGCTTTCCAAAGCAGACCAAATACAGGAAATTTCAATTTAAAATACTACAGTTTCATAAAATACTAAGTTACTATGAATGGACTTCTAATAAATTGGATAACCATTCAGAGTAAGTGTTATCTCCATCAATACCATTTTATTTATTCTCCCACTAAAAGAGTTCCAATTTTGATAGGCTCATTCATTTTTCCTTTGTTCTAATTTGAAGTTTTATAGTGTTTTGGAGTGAGAGTACTTATTGCTTTATTTCTTATTTTCTTCTAAAACATGCACCAATTCATAGGGAAGACTTTCTATTCTGGAAATCTGCACAAAAAAAATTCCACTAGACACTGACGTGTCATTACAAGACTTAGCACTCCAAACAGACCTCTTCTCTGGAGCTGATCTTGAAAATCTGTGCAAGGAGGTAAGGAATATTCCTGGCAATCAATGAAATACCTTTTGAAAGGTTTCATCTATAGCTTATCTCATAGCTATTATCAAGTCATCTGAAGTACACATTTTTCTCACAAGTTGTAATGAAAAGATAGAAATGAATACAAAGAGAACTGAACATGGGTTAATTCTTTAAATAAAAAAGCCAAGCAAGTGTGATATCTGTCTTCAATAACTTACTGGTGAGAAAAGTTAAGGAACTGTACTGCCCTTCGATTTTACATAACTTTGTATAGTCCAAGTTTAAATCTAGATAAATTGTATTTTATGTACTGCAAGCAATTACAGCATTTAATTGAAATTAACATGTACTATCAAGGCTAAAGAGAAAAAAACATTGAGGGAGAGAGCAATCCATAAGCATTTGAGAGAAGTATTTAAGAAAGAGACTAGAAAGAAAATGCACAAATGTGCATCAAGGATAATCTGTCTAATCCAGTCAAGAAGTATATATAAAAAAGGCCTATTAATCTTATTAGATACATGTATATATAACCGTAAATCATACAATGTTGTTTTCAGATATTTTATCTTAAACTGTAAAATATTTTAAAATACTTGTAACACTTTAAGTTAGCAGAAGGCATTACAAGTACTCAAGTTGTTTCTCCTTTTTTTTCTTTTAAAGGCTGCTTTGTTGGCATTACAAGAGAATGGACTTGAAGCAACTACTGTTAAACACGAGCACTTTGTAAAATCATTGAGGACTGTAAAAGCATCCTTAACTGTCAAAGACTTGGATTTTTATGAAAAAAATTATAATCAGAAATTCACCTCTTGAATCAGAAGAGTGCTGCAGCATAAATATTTTTAAATATATTACAAACCAACTAAAGCAAATGAGACCTTATTTTACTCTTCAGTACTGAGATCACAAGTGAAATGTTATTACAAGTACTAAAAAGCAGGAAAAGCGATAAGGAAAATGTGAGCCTTTTTATCTGCTGGAACTGGTAATGAAAGGGAAATAATGAAGTGGTTCTGTAGACTCCCTCACTCTCAGTATAAACCATGGAAGAATAAGAACATTCAGTATGAAAACATGTGGCGAAGTCTCCAAAGCATAGTAAATATTAAAAAAAAATAGAGTATGAGGAAAAAGTTCTTTGTAGAGAACTGCACATAATAAAATATATTTTATATGTGCACATCTATAAGCTTTCTTTCTGGAAAGCAGATTCCAAGATAAACTTCTAATTAAACAGTCATCAGCATTTAATACTTTGTTGAAAGTTGGGGAGTTTTTTGTTTGAAGTGTGGGGCTTGCAGGTGAAGTGTAGGCTGTGGGACAGTCATTCCAGAACAGCTACCACTGACTGTACAAACATTTAAATTAAGTAAACAAATAAATACTAAGCAAGTTTGGAATAAAACAATCTAAGGTAAAATAATAATTTACTCTTTGGGATAGAAGAGAGTTTGTTTTATTAACGTTTCTGTAGCATTTTTTACCTCAAAAACTATTCGTTCCTCATGTATTTTTGTAGCCCTCTTTTGAAAGGCGGAGACAAATTTCCTTCTGTATCTAAATGTCTTCATTTACCAAGGTTGAAATTTTAACCGTTTTCTCCCTTTCCCCACGGAAATGTTTATGAAAGAGGTATTTCACTGTCAAAGATAATGTCAGCTGAAATACAAAACACAAAACTACAAACCCATAAACAAATCCTACATCTGCCTGCTCCAGGACCCTGGGGGTGCTCCACAGCGTGGTTCACCTTGAGACCGGGTCACAGAACGGAGGCTGCTTGGCAGTTAGTGACAACACAGGACAAAACCAGTTGCAAAATATGGCCTAGGAAAGGACTGTCCTACAACCTGGTGGCTTCATCCTCACTTCCTGAAGGACTACCCAGGTCTTCCCAGTTACTACCAACCAATAAGGCCAGTGTCAGGGATCCCTGGAGGTAGCTCCTCAGCAGCTGTGCTGGTGAGGGTGTAGAGCCTGTGCCTGCTAACACCGACTGTTGGTGTGGCACAGGGGACAGGGTGAAATGGTGCAGTTTTTGTCACCCTACAATCCTTGCCAAGCTCTGGAAAGAGGTGGGCATGGCCTTCCCTGTGTGTTCGCACGCTGCGTGTTTTTTGGGCCACAGACTCAAAAGTCGTGCTGTCCGAAAGGCAGCAGGCAAGACCTGAGGGAAGAGGAGGGAGACTTGAAGAAGAGAGAAGTGGGGAACAGCTGGGAGTCCCTGGGGGCTGCTGACGGGACAAGCACCCTCGGAGAAGTGCCGGAAGAGCCTGCTGCGAAATGG